AGCACACGAATACCCTTGCAGCCCCCCCAATGCAGCAGGAGGTATTAAGATGGAATCTGATGCTTGTTTTGATAGCGCCTGCCCAGCTTCATCATCGAAGCTTCACTACTGTCTGCAAGAAAAAAAATTACTCTAGAGGTACAAAATCAGGAAAGACTTTTGCATCTGATTTCTGCCTTACTATGAGCAGCAGTTCAAGGTCAAACGAATAAGCCATCCAGGTCAGTATCCTGTCCTGTACATATGAGATGTATAGCCAAGACTTCTGTATAGGGCTGTGATCAGAAGACAGAATTACAGAGGAACTTCTCTTCATCTACATTTGAAGTGCTGGATTAGGAGAGTGCCCTTCCTTCCTGACCTCCACAGAATCGACAGACACCACAGCATATAGAGCCAACCCTACATCTTACCCAAGCCTAACGATCAAAGCTAGTAATGGCTGAGCAATTATCTCCTCTAAAACCCGGCCAAAGCAGAAGACACACTGCCTTGCTGGAGCCACGAATGGTACAGGATGACCATGCGTTGAGAATTATCTGTGGTCTCACCCTGCAGCTCAGAAAATTATAGCTTGTTTCCTACTACTTGTCCCACTTCATCCGTTCTGCTATTGCTTTTTGAAAAAGGTCCTTACTGAGGCAGGTACTTACTACTTTTCCTGTGACTTCAGCCTCATACTATTAATTCTCTCAGTTTGCCAACACTGACTGCCTTATCTTGTTTCTTCTCTTTCTCCTTTTCACATCCTTTCCCGACACCACACTAATTGGGCAAAGGATTCAAAGATGCCATTTTAAATGTCTGCATTCACCTGTTGTCCTTGAGTGACTCAATTTTTGTATGCATCTCTAACTGCCTGCCTAATTACCTATCCGCACATGCACAGATGAACAACCTCCGAGAGCTCACTAGAAGTGCCTCGACTGGAAGAATTATCTTCCAACAGCCGAAGAGAGCTGCACCCCCTGGGTGAACTTGGCAGGTGAAGTAACAGGAGCATGAGCCTCAACGCTGGATGAGGTCTGTGAACCCCATCTGTAACCAAATGAACTGAAATGGGTATAAATTGGAACTGGAACTTATACTTGTGCCTGCCAGCACTTGGGGAACAGCAATTCCCATTCAGCCTTCTGATCAGTTAGAGTGAGATGGAAGTGCTGCCCAGGGATTTTATCCTACCATGGGGAATAAGCACAATTCAGCCTTTGATATTTGTTTTCTGACAGACTCTCTTCCTGAAGTGAAATATCCCTAAATAGTGTAGAGGCTGAGGCTGTAATGAGCTATAGCACAGCAGGGTTTTAGAGATAGCCGGAGAACGATAAGATCCAATCCCTGGTGTCGGCAAGATAAAGTGGTTTATCTGGGTTTCCACACAGGGGAGAGTTAGCTGCTAGACCTAGCTGAAAGATAGGGGGCTGGCAACCAAGGAGATTACAACAAGAGATAAGGCTCCTGGGTTTTCTGTTTACAAAGCCAACTGTGCTAAGGCAGAATGCACTCCCCAGGAAAAACAGTTACTTGACACAATATACAGACCCACTAACCTGAGAGAGGAGAAGGAGAATCCAGCTGTTGGACAAGCTGTGGGAGGGGCAATTCAACCTTGTCCTCCTCTGGCCCCCACCTGCTCTTCCGCTTCTTTTTAGTAGTGCCTGTAGCAGTAGCTGTAGTTGTTGTTGCAGCTGTAGTTGTAGCTGTCTGATCAGGTGGAGTTGTAGAGGATGATGGTGAAGGTGAGGGCAAGGGGGAGGGTGAGGGCATGGGCAAGGGCAAGGGTGAGGGCACAGGCAAGGGCAAAGGCGAGGGAACGGGCAAGGGCAAAGGCGAGGGAACGGGCAAGGGCAGGGGCAAAGGCGAGGGAATGGGCAAGGGCAGGGGCAAAGGCGAGGGAACGGGCAAGGGCAGGGGCAAAGGCGGTAAGCACAAGGGTGATGGTGATGCCTCGGGACTGGTCTTCCTTTTCAGACTGGACTCTACAGGCATGGGGGCACACACAGTGCTGGTTTTGGCCTTACGGAACTCCTCCAGTTTCTGCCGGTAATACTTGTAGCCTTTGCTGTTTGGCTCATATAAAAACCTATACAGGAAAAAAAAAAAAAAAAAGAAAGTTTAGATGTAACAGTCATATGCAGGGGTTAGACATACCAGTTTGGTCAGGGCTTTTCTTTCCTGCAATGCTCTTGCACAACTAGCCTTCCCACACACTTCCTTGCTCTCCAGCACCATCCTGTGTGTATGTGCATGCAATGCAGGGCTCTGCATGCTCTTGCAAGGTAGGCTGCAAGCCTTTGGGATCAGGAAGCATATGTCCTATTCACAAGCAAACCACAGCTATTTTTGGTGCCAAATAAACACAAGGTACTAAAAAGGACCACGTTACATTTGTGGAAACACAAGGCGCTCCCCCAGAATTCACCTGCCTTCCAGAACATGTCTGGAAAAACTGCAAGGGCTCCACAACACATTGGGTTTCAGTTCACAGAAGAAAACAAACATTCAGGTCTTACCAATGGGAATGCCAAACCACTACCAAAAGAAAAACTGCTCCCAACTCTCTATTCAAGCTAGAAGCGTTGACATTACCAGTCTGCTTAATTACACCATGACTCCTCCTTTTATTCCCACATACACAAAAAAAACCATTGCTTTATTTGCTACCCCTTCCAGAAATAGGCATCTCTGACCTTTTGGGTAAAATAAAACTGCTTAGTCTTTGTGGGAAGAACATGAACAATCCTCAATCTAGCAGCTACGCAAAAAAAATCAATAGTCATGTTTGTTACAAACGCTGTCTTTTTGGGCTCACTCCAGTTTAAATACCTCACAGAGAAAACTTGTCTATTCCTAACGCCTCTACAATCTTCCCTTTTTAGACGACCAGTTTAATACTTGATATAACCTCTCCTTGGGATAGTGCCCGCTCCCACAAGGAAACATAAAAGATGACAGGCCTTTCCCATCTACCACTGCACAATATGCACAGCCAAACACAAACAGCTCTCTGACGTATTTTAAAATTCACTAAATGTGGTCCCGCATCCCTCCATTTGAATAACAGCACTAAGGACTGCTTCAGGACCAAGCAGAGGGCAGGATGGGGCCTGATGAAATTCTAACAAAGGAGATGATGTTTAACTTGACCGTGCTCAGGTGGGATCACAGCGGTGTTTTAAAGTAAATAATGAAACAGCTCAGGTATTAGCACATCTGTCTAATGTAATTCACAACACAGGGGAGTACCCCAGAGGGCCAGAAGGCAGCCAATAAAATACCAAAATATCAGCAACAAAACAAGGCTTGCTGAGCCCCACTTCAGTTCCAGAGAACACACCAAATTGTTTGTAAGAGCAGAAAAATGAAACATGGATGAGACCAAAGGGAGGCATTAAGCAGCTGTCAGTGAGCACTGAAGAGAACAATTCACATCTGAAAGGCTGAAAAAGATATTCCAAAGGAGGACCTAATGGTGAAGGAATGCTACCTGTACGTTAGTGAAGATGCTGTGTAAAGAGCAACCCGGGAAATTAATTGGACAGCAGCGGTATGAGCGGTGGATGGGGGCCCACACCAAAACACAGCTATAGGGAAAAGTATAAAGGTTAGAATTATACTAGTACATTGCAACAGAAAGCAGTTGAGGGAAGGGGGGGTGGAAGTTGTAAATTAGTTTTGGGGAAAGCAAATCAATTTCTCTCTCCCTGTGCCTTTCTCTTATCTATGAAGCTTGAGAATGTGAAAGTATCGTTGCTATATAAGTGCACTGTCCTTGTAACTTCAGACTTATCACAAGCTTGTCTGTTACTTCCCCTTAAAAACCCAAAAAGGCCCATCCAAGCCCGTTACACTCAGCAGCAGGTTTCTTCCCTTACCTGAAAGCATGGTTCTCTCGGTTGTTCTGCAAGGCAATAGCTTCCACCTCAGGACCCCCGTCTGCTATGAACCTGGCCAGTTTCTCAGCAGAGTTCTTTGTCTCTTCGTCGTCTGGGGGTGAAACTTTAAGCAGGCTGTCAGTACTGGGCCCAACTCACACAAGCAACAGTCAAAGCCTATCTGTTCTAAGAACCCCAAGAGCAGAATAAGGGCAAAAGGTCGAGTTTAATTTTTAGAAATATTACACATAAACAGTCATAAGAGTTTATATCACAAAAACATGATATTGCATAAGGCTGTACAACAACTTTGTAACCAGAGGAGTGCCCATTCACACATCAGCTTCCTCTGTGCCAGGAGCTAGATGAGAGCAGATTAACAGACAAACCAGCTTTTGTCTTCAAAGATGGACACTTGTTTCTCTCTACGGCAGAGGAAGTCTTTTTCTTCCTCGTGTCAGGCGCTTTTCCATAGGGTTACACCTCAGCACTCGCAATTATCTCTAGTTAAAGACTTTGCCACTGACGTCCCCAGGAGCAACGGGAAAGCCTCAGAAAAAGTGGCCGACTAATACCACACCGTAATCCCACTTGTACCTACTGTCACTACACATCTGCTGGCCATTTTAGGAGCAGGTTGTAGGACAGAGGAAATTCTCCATGGAACAGCCCCAATCCTCACCTGGAAGAGGCAGCTAGTGTAGCCTTAGTCCAAAGGCACAGAGAAGGCTCTGCTCATTAATATTTCAAGCATATTTGATGTTTATAAGGAGCCAGGCAAATACGTTATTTAGCCACGACAGCCTTATATGAGATTTGCTACCTGCACAGTACCAGTGCCAGTACTCCAGTGTGCTGGCACAGGAGGCAGAAGACATGATTATAAGCCATGGACAAGTCATAACCTTTCCTTGCTTCAATATTCCACACCTGTAAAGTATGGATAATACTGCTTAGCTTCCAAACTGTTGTTATCAGTTAGTTGATATTGGTAAAAAGCTCTTTCAGCCTACAGTCTATTAAATAATGATTTGTTTAAGCTGTTAACTCATCAGCATGACAGCAAAATTGCATTAATACTCATTTCCACAGCAAAGGAAGCTGACACAGAGAGGCTGAGTGATTCGCCAGGGCCACACACAGGCCTGAAACAGAGGCTGCACCAGAAGCAATAAATGCCTGGCCCACAGACCACACTTCAACCACTAAATAATTTCTGCCTCTTAACACAGTTAACCAGATTCCACTGCTCACGCCACCTGCCTGTTGGCAGGTCACCCACTTCTGCTGTCTTCCCACCTGAAAACACAGTCCCTTACTTGCAAGGATTTATGTCCCAAGCAGAAAATAAAAGCTTTAGTCAGGGAAAAGGCAGCAGAAATGGGGATTATGTTCAAGAAGCAAACCAGCCGTTTTCATTGATAACAAACCAAATAAAAACATCTGAAAAAAAGCACTTTTCCTAAATGCATTTTCAGGGCTGAAACACTCGCCAGAACACGCATGGTGGAGAATCAGTTTAGTTGACTTTGTTAAGGATTTTGGAGAAATACAACTAAAATCTCTTTCAAGAGCCCTTTACATAGAGCATGGTATAGCATGCTGTGGGCTTGGAAAACAACCGTTTTGGCACAAGAGTTTGATGCCATCATGGTGATGTATCATCACCATCTCCTTCCATTTTGAAATTTTATTTACAGGCAGCAGATTGACAGCCAAATATCCACTCCAACTGTTTCCAGAACAGACCTAACAAGCAGTTACAGAGAGAGTGAAGAAGTTGGATTTAACTTATGCAATTCATATTCTCCAGATTCCAGTCTTAATTACCTTTCTGAGAAGAGGATGCCTGAGAACTTTGATTCTCTTTTCTTATCTCTGCCACTTTCTTTCTGTAGTAAAGGAATTCTCTGCTGTTCTTATCATGCAAAAACCTAGGGTGGAGATGGAGGAAAAAAGGGCAAAAAATACGCATCAGGAACAACTATACACAAACATTGATACTTTGGGATATAAATAGCTCAAAACCAAAAAATACAAAACAGATAAACTATTCAGGCTGCACTTAAAATGGGGACTACAAAGTCTTCAGAATGTATAAATACACATAACTTTAATCTAAGGCCTTGCATCCAAATTTTGTGTGTCACTTGAAAGGAAAAAAATAACAGCATCCTCTGATATAAGAGGGAATCCTCTGTCCACAGCCACACAGCGTATCAATGGCAGAGGAGACAGAACCAGTCCCGAGATGGAGTCCAGTATCCCTGTATGCTAGATGTTGTACAGGCAGCCAGAGCTCCCAGGCTGCATCCCTAACTCTAGCTGACCCGCCTCCTCAGCACCATCACAGTATCACTTTCTGCCTCAGCTATAAGACAATGACTCACAACAAAGCTCAAATCCACCAAATGATAATTAAACCAAACACATCCACGAGGACTACATACACAGGGCTGATGTTTTTCTCCTACAAAAAGACAGCATTCTGCTTTGGAAGACAAGAGTTATCACCACACTTACGAAAAAGCTGGGTTATCCTTGTAGTCTTCCATAGCGACCTTCTCTAATTCTGGTCCCCCTTCAGCCACGAACCTAGCCAGCTTTTCCACCACTTGTCGGGTCTCCGCATCCTCTGGGGGTAAAACTTTAAGCAGGCTGTCAGTACTGGGGTTCAACTCACACACCAAACAGGCAACAGGTACATTACTTCTAAGAACCAAGGCGGCAGACAAAAGTAGAACGGGAATGGGAAGAAAAAGGATGAATGGGGGATCCAGTCTTACACAGCTGTACAAATTACAATCCCTAGGTTACTGTCAGCCCCTGCACTCCCTTAGTAGGAAGTTAATATTTTGTCTAGATTTTTCCTACAAGGAAAAGCCTAAGATTTGGATCACCACAGTTTAGGGTGCAACTTCAGTTGCAACCTAATTTGCTTCTGACAATTCTGCTCCCTACAAAGCACAATGGGAAAGAACAGGAATTTGGTTTTAACCACCACATTACTCACTAAAGATAACAGATTCCAGCTCCCAAGACATTGCTCTGTACCCAGATAGCAGAGACAGATTGTGTAGCCAGAGCACATAGTTCTTCCTACTGGCATATGCCCATGTCTCAACCCTCGCTTGGAGGGAATCCCACCAGAGATAAGAGGAGAGCTCAGTCTCCAAGAAACTGTATTTTGGCTTCTGTGCCAAGAAAGGAATGCACTGACAGCGATTACAGAGCTGGTGCAGGACACATTCAATGGGAACTAAACGCATTTGTCTAGACAACAGTATTTTGGGTAGGGCATTGAACAGAGAGCACACAGAAGCAGAGCTGTCCACAGCTGATCTGGACTAGATTTGAACCCACGATCTTTGAATTAAGTGTCCACATTCCATCTTTGCTCTCTGCAACCAGTGGCTATTTCTCACATTCCTGCAGCACATTTCACGCTTAAGTTCAGACTTGCTAAGATTACGCTTTTATAAATCCCACCAGAAATAGCTAGACATGGTTTTGTAAACATATAATGAAATAAATTATGACACAAAGCTTAGTGTGACTTATTTAGCAACTCCAATCTAATTTTATACTCGATTAATATGCATGCATGAAATGCAGCTTATTAAGTAAATCTGCCTTCTGGCCTCCTAGCCTAGGTTATCCAGAAAAACTTGGTTAGTTAAGTGCTGCAACATTCTTCATTGGTTTTCTATGCTACTTGAAGCAGTCAGGACCTAGAGGTGAGATTTTCTAATGAAACTTTGAAAAGAGGCAGGAACTTTGATTTTACCTGGTCACAGTTCCGTGCCTTACACGGAACCTTATATTAACACATACAATTTTTCACCTTACGCAGCCACACCCAAACTGAGGCCTTTTTATTTTCTATCATTTAAAAAACCTAAAATTCCTTTTTAAATACAAGCATTATATCTATGTGTGTTCTAGAGAACCCGGCACTAGCCATAACAGATTTCAACCATACAAAAGCAGAATTATCATCATTAGCAAACAATCAAGCTTCATTAAGCAGAACATATTTCTTCTCTACACATTATTTTTCACAGAGACTTACAGACTAGTCAAGCACTATGCCTTGATAACTCAGAGAAAATAAATCTTCCTGGCACAAAACTAGAGCCGGTCTAACTATGGTGACCCACCCACCTCCCATACCGAGTTCAGCTGGATAAGGAGTATCTAACAGCATTCAGTCCCCAGCTTTTCTGCTGAAGCTGGCTTTGGAGGAGTCCACCAGCATTAACTGGTGCCATTTATGTTTCACAATGCAGAAGTCTGCACACAGGAACTGTGCTAAGAATACCAATCCACAGCATAAGGAAAAAAGCCCAACGCTCTACTGGGGTAAAAGATCCTCCTATCACTAGGGTAAGTGAACCTGCACCCCAAAACAAACAACGTAGCAGAAGGTGTCATTTACCTTTAATTTCCAACCACTGCTCATAATCTTCCTCCTCATCTTCATCTGGCGACTGAAACACACTGAGGCGGTTAACGACTGGGGTCTGTTTGGAATGGGAGTAGTTCTTCGCTTGGTGCAGCATGCTGCTCAGGACCTGACCGGGGCGCTTCCCAAACAGCATAGGTTTCTTCCCAGCATTTGGCGCAGAAGCATTTGCCGAGTTATTAGTAGAACTTGGGGGAGTTTCTTAGAAAAGAATGAGGGGAAAATAATTCCTGTGCATCCTTACTGTTTTAATCTCAGAAGGTTACAAAAAACAACTCAGGCAGTAATACAGCTGCAATAGGCCATTACTTTCAGAGTAAGTTAAAGACACTGACTGGTAAAAGCTGCATAACATGAAAGCTGTGATGATTTTTACAAAGCAAGATTCAAGCTAGAAGAGAGATGCTTCTTTTACAGCACCTATAGATGGAAAGAGGGCAAACCTCCCTATTGCATCATGAAGAAAAACTTTAATCCAAATCTAAAGGGGTCACCGTTGCTTTAGAACTTAATCATACTGGTAACAGCGCATAGCAGTTTCTAAAGTGAACATACATGGAGGCAGCTCACACAAAGCTGGTATCAGCAGAGAAGGAAGGCCTCCTGTTGCTCAGAAGTCGACCTACCAGTACTTGACTTTTCCTTCTGCAGCTTGAGAAACTGCTGGAGGAAACTGCCATCATTAACAAACTTGTTGGAAACACAGGCTTCGTTGTCAGTACCGTCATCTCTGAACAGAAAAAGAAAAGTAGGTGATGGTACTCATCATCCTCCCCAGCCCACCCCTCCCTGCATTTATTTTGAGTGGAAAACAAGACAAATGCCAGTGACTACTAATCTCTCTCATCTAACGTTGAAAACACATGTAGCTTTTCAAAAGCACAAGAACTATTCAGCTTGCTGCTTACAGTATTTATCCAAGCTGTCCACCTGGCTTGTTTACTACTCCATTGAAACAGGATTTCTACTTGCTTTGTTACACTACCCTGCTTCCAAGAACCCCAGGCAAGCATTTAACTGGAAAACTGTGCTAACCCTTAGGAGTTGCGGATATAAGAAAGATAACAAACGGGAAGCGGAAGAAAAGCGTAGTAACACCCTGTTAAAAATATGATTGCTGGTAGCACGTACCTGTTCTCGCTAGTATCTGAAAAACCTGGCTAGATCAATTAAAGTGCAAGTATCCTATCCTAACCTTTACTCAACTACCAATCTCAATTTTCTCAGTATTTGCCTCCAAGTGCAAGAGCTTTGTAAAGCCCATCTCTTCCATTTCATTTGACAAACACGCCCGTTTTCCATCAGCGAAGCTCCCATCTAAAACCACGGTAATTCACCCGTACTCTCCAAACAGAGGTAGCTGTTGTATGCTCAGGTAATTCTGTTTCGCTTGCTGTTCCAGTCTGGCTTCAATTTCTCTCTTTTTCTGCGCTATCAACTCCTCTTGGTGAAGAATATTCACATTCGTCTTGGCCGATTTAGACTGCGCGACCCCAAACCACCGGCTCG